GCGGTAGTGTAGACGCTGGTATAGTTTTGTCGACAAAAGTCCACTTTTGTCGACAAAACTAGGTAGTCTAGACACACCCTTGGTCATGCTGTTTAGGCCTATTTTGGGCCTGTTAGCTTGGTTGCTAAAGTTCAAGCAGTAAGCAATAGTGGTTCAGGTACATTACTGGATTTGCTGAAATCTCCCCGTACAGAACTGCCAAGCCATCATAGTGCTTCCAGGAGAAGTCAGAAGACCTCTTTCCTCCCCGCCCCCACCCTCTCCCTCCCCGTGTTTTCAGGGTTGTATATGCAGTTAGCTCCCAACAGTTCTGGTGTCAATGTAACTGCAGAATAACTGAAATGGTCAAACAGACCCCCCCACCCTTTCCCAGCTGCCGCCACCCCACAGTGCTCTGGCTGGCCTGGAAAGTCTTTCACAACACTCTGCTTCTGGGAGCAGAGCTGAGAACTGGGGGACAGACCCCAGAAGCCATTGAAATCAAGACCGTTTAGGACAGCACTAGTGTGGACACAGGGCAAACCTGCAATAAGTCTAGGGTTGCCAACCCTCCAGGATTGTCTTAGAGTTTCCAGGAATTAAAGATTACTCTTTAATTAAAGATTGTCATGTGATGAAATCTCCAGGAATTCATTGAATCAAAGTCAGCAATCCAGAATGTTTCAAACTAATTTAGCATGGCTAACCTGGATTCGCTGAACTATTTATACTTTCGCTCAGTTACAAATGGCTCAGTACTAGGTAGTTCTTGAATGTTTATAAGGTCCAGATGCTAAACTAAAAAAAAATCCAATTTGATTTGCATAGCAGATTTCACTAACTAAATGGAATTTTACATCCTTACTAGAAGGACATGTGATCATGCCACCTGGTACTGGAATCCATTTTTAACTTGGTGTTTTTCCATGGGAAGGGGCATGCAATACAAAAGATTGTTGTCATAGGAGAAAGGCTATTTAAGCAATGGAAAGCTATGAGCCTTTGTCTTCAGTGGCTTTTGGAACTGACTGACACACCCTGAGAGGATAAAAAGAACTTTATAGAGCTGGAGACTGAAGTGAGAGTAAAAGATTTTGACTCCAATTTGAAACTTTTACTTGAAATAAGAATAGCTGTTTAGAGTAAGCATTTATATGTAACCGTTTTCTTAGTGAATTATAACTAGTTATGCATTTTCTATTCATTTTAGCGTAGTAACTTTGATCTCTCTTTTTTCACTTGCAACGACTTAAATCCTACTTTTTTGTATTTAATAAAAACATTTTTGTTTATTATCAAGCCCAGTGTAAATAATTGTTACCTGGGGGAAGCAACCACTGTGCATTTTTTTTTATTGATAAGGGGAATTTACCTTATGAGCTTTCCCTGTTTAAAAATTTTACAACAAGAAAGAGATTTATTTGGGGGGTTTTGGTCCCACTTAGGAGTTGGTTTCTTGGGTACTGAGCCCTTCAATCTGCATCTTCCCAGAGCTGAACCAGTTCAATGTCTGTTACTCTGCAGGAGGGTGGTAACCCCAACTCTGTGCCTTTTCTGGGGTGGATCAGAGGATCTGGCCCAGCAGGACAGGGTGGTAGGGAGCCCCAGAGAGCAAGAAGGGGGTATCAGTGGCAAGCAGGGGCGGATATAGGGCAGGGTGGGCGGGGCAGCCGCCCCGGGCCCCGCGCTTCAAGAAGCCCTGCACGTGGCGTCACTGCGCATGCGCCATGGCAAAGGGGGGCCCCGCGAAATTGTGCTGCTCTGGGCCCCGCAAAATGGTCATCTGCCCCTAGTGGCAAGATCAGCATACTGGAGAACAGTCTCAAGGAGTCTAATGTGATTGCACCCCATCACAGAGGCCTTCACCAGTCTAATTGTATATTCCTTTATTTGTCCTTCCCTCAGGAGTTCATGTAAGGAAAAGTGCAAGCAAACAAAAGGAAAGAATGTTTAACCAGCTGATGATCAAAATAACACTGACTGCAAACTGTGATGGTTTGAAATTACATCTATTCAACAAAGAGTGATCTGTTTCTGTTTTCTAAAAATAAAAACCAGAAGCAGTAGGAATAGCCATCAGTGGGTGGGGATAGGGAAGGCAGGAATCTCACACTGGAAAAGATGTGGGAGAGAGAGAGATGATTGGGCTATCAGGAAAGGCTAGACTGCCCCTTCTGGCATAGGAGCCTAGACTTTATTGGCTCTCATTGGTAGATCTTCTAAATGAGTGGAGCCAAGTTTTCAAAAGGTAAAATAATTTAAAAAAATTAAAATTTGCATTATGACAGTTTTCTTTTGGAAGGAAAGATTAAATGTACCAGAGGGATTATTACTGTTCCAGGCATTACGGATATCTTTTCTGTAGGCCACATTCTGCAGCAAGCTACACACAGCAAGTGAGAAGAAGCTGCACAAATGTGTCTCTGATCAGAACTTGGCTGTTACCATATTAAAGGATATTACACATTCTTCAGAAATGAAAGTAGCCCCCTTAGATTTTGTAACATTGGCTGCAATGCTAACTTCCCCTTTTGCAGGACGCATGCATCAGGCAGGTAGTATGAGGGGAAAAAAACTGTATAAGAAATAATAAAAAGCTTTTTACTTTTGCGTAAATATGTTTTGATAGTAAAACACTGGTTTTCTCATTTTCTTTGCAGTAAAATACGATCTTAATAACCCTGCAAAACATGCCAAGCTGGATTTCCTCAATAACCTTGCAACTGGACTGGTATTCATTATAGTAGTTGTGAATATTTTTATCACTGCCTTTGGAGTGCAGAAACCAGTGGCTGGAACAGCCTCAAGACAATAGGGAACAAGAAGGTGAGTTATGAACCTTTCAGATTTTTTCCTATTGCCATCCACCCAACAGTGCACCTTCATACAGCCTCCCCACTCCTGAAAATCATGTTGTATTAAAAAAGTGACCATTTCCCCATTAAAGACTATCTATATGATCTCTGTAGAGAGCAAGTGTATTCTTCACAGTGTTCTTTAATCAGATTATAAATACAAGGGATTATTGATTAATATGATTCTGGATTTTTGGATGCAAAGTACAAAAAAAAAAGACTCAGACACACAGAAGAGTCTTGCACCTCAAAAGGGGTCCTTTATATTTTCCCTCTGTGAACTCATAGGGAGCAAGCATTTCTCAGGAGAAGCCTCTCCCTCCTCTCAGTGCTGATGAAGCCAATCAAGGGACTAAAAACTGTACTTTTACCTTTCTCCTACAAAAGTCTTTTTACTAGGCAGGATTGCATTTGCAGTGTTTTGCTATCCCAGTCAGTTATTAACACATGAAAGAATTTATCCAAGTTACTGGTGTGGTTTATTGTTAACCCAATGTAGTGTTGTTAGCCAACAGCAGAGACGTTTGACTTCATTTAATGTGCCCTATGGTTTTCCTGGGATGCACTTCTTTCCATTTGTAGGAAGCCCAGCCCAGGAAATTCTGCACCACAGGTTGTTTTGATAAATGTGTTAGAACATTATTATTCTCCCACTTGAGCAATCTGAAGCTCTTCAATGTGGAAGATATTTACAATCAGAGCCTCTTATTTTCATCCTCCTGCATAAGTGTAGAAGAGTTGGCATAAGATCAAAACATGTCATGCACTTCATAACCCTAACACCAGTCAGTAAGAGCTGAGACCAGAATGAGTGAATTCTTCCTCTCGGTCCAGCACACCTTCCCCTTTGCAGCGTACCATGAAATGCTTAGTAGAGTCTTGAAGCATGCTCAGAGCAATTGCTTTTGTGAGAGAGCTATGTGTAGCCAGAACATATTGGCTACGTCTACACTGGCCCCTTTTCCGGAAGGGGCATGTAAATTTCACGAGTCGTCGTAGGGAAATCCGCGGGGGATTTAAATATCCCCCGCGGCATTTAAATAAAAATGTCCGCCGCTTTTTTCCGGCTTTTAAAAAAGCCGGAAAAGAGCGTCTAGACTGGCCCCGATCCTCCGGAAAAAGTGCCCTTTTCCGGAGGCTCTTATTCTTACTTTGAAGTAAGAATAAGAGCCTCCGGAAAAGGGCACTTTTTCCGGAGGATCGGGGCCAGTCTAGACGCTCTTTTCCGGCTTTTTTAAAAGCCGGAAAAAAGCGGCGGGCATTTTTATTTAAATGCCGCGGGGGATATTTAAATCCCCCGCGGATTTCCCTACGACGACTCGTGAAATTTACATGCCCCTTCCGGAAAAGGGGCCAGTGTAGACGTAGCCAGTATGTGTACAAGAAATAGTTTGAGATTTTCCAGCTGGCTTCTAATCAGCTGTCCAGAGTGTGTAGATAATTTACAGGGGGCATCAAATCTAGATGGGTTTTCCCAGAGACAGGAAAAGGCACTTCATGCTCCAGGACCATTTCTTTGCCCAACCTCAAATACCTCTGTCAGGACGGAGGCACTAAAAGACAAAAATGTAACTAGAAACATTTAAAATTCAATCCTACCTATTTGTCCCTAACCCTAGTCTCAGGAATGGCTTTGTGGTTGACGTCGAAGTTTAAAAAAGCCACAGCATGGGACAACTATCTGGCATAGAAAACTTTAGCTGATGTGGATAGGATATCTCTTGGCAAAGCTAAAAGGAACAGAAAATAGAGGTTGATAAGATGACGTACTAACCAAACCTAACAACAGGTATTTCTTCCAGCTCTACCTGTAACAACAGACTGATATTCTAATACAATGGTTGACTCACCACTGGTATGGCCCTCTCATGGGACAGGCAGTCTCACAAATAGGCTGGTCCCAAATGAAACTAGATTATAATAGATAATAACCAACATCGTAGACTCTGTGCAGAAGCCAGCCAGTAGCCAATCCCAGAGCACAGGTGTCCTCTGTTCTCTGTGAAGAGCCATTCATTTACTAAGCAGCGACTGTCTCCTGCACCAAATTTTAGACTTATCTGGTTTCATAGCCTCTCTCCAACAGTGTTGCGAGGTCCTTCACAGCTACAGGATTCAGCAGGTGAGCATTTTAATGAGTCTTGCAGCTGTTACATAGCTGTTACATAGGCCATATGTTTCCAGGCTTCACAAGCCACTTCTGCTTTGTGCAGCATTAACGTGCCAGGCTGATTTCTGAGTCAGTTATTGTACATCACCCCTCTTAACCTGAACAAGTGCTTCCTCCTGCAGATTTCTAACACCTGCCCATTGAAGGTGCGTCTACATTGCATGGTAGGTTGAAATAAGATACACAGATTGCATATCTTATTTCAATGTTATTTCAAAATAGGCAGCGTCTACACAGCACTTATTTTGAAATAGAGCAAATAGAGCAATAGAGCACTTACTCCTCGTACAATGAGGGTTACAGGAGTTGGAGTAAGAAGTCCTCCAGCTTGACAGTATTTTGACATTATTTTGAAATAACACATGGGGAGCTGCTGTAATAATAATTTCTTTAATCTGGCTTGGAAAAATCTAACATGATCTAAAGGCTGGAAAGGTGAATTTGGAGTGTTTTTTAAATTGTGGGAGTAATTAACCACTGCAACAATTTAGCAAAGGTTATGGGCTCAGTACTTCAGTGACCATTTTACAATCAAGATCAGATGATTTACTAAAAGATCTGCTGTAGGAATTATTTGGGGGAAATTCTGTGTCCTGCAGTATCAGGAAGTCAGACTGGTTAATCACAGTGGCTCCTACTGGCCTCAGAATCTACGATTTTTTTGCCCGCTGGCACATGCAGTCTTTGCTAAAATTAAAAAAAAAAATCCGCCCATTCACTTACATACAGTTTTTACAGGTCACTGAAAGTAAATCTCTCCTCACTGAGATTTTGGAAAAAATACAGCCCCTGGTAGTCAAAGGAGAGTGTCCACTGGAAGCAAGGCCTTATTTGGAGAGCTCCCTGAGTCTGTAACAGGCACAGGCATTGGTCTGCTCATGAAGGACTATGTTGGGATGTAACTTGTGAAGGACTGTGCTGGGTGGAGTTGGGAACCTTCCAGCTTTGCCTTACGTAAGGCCCACATGGCAGAAGATTTTGATTCCATCACAGAGGGAACTTGTGAGTCACTGTAATTCTTACATAACTGAGCTTAATTTTTTTGCTTTTCGTTTAGTTTCAGAGATCTGAACCATTGACCTCTCCTTTAAGTACTTCTGCACTTGAGCCAGTTAAACTTGGACACAGAAGGAAAACCTGGAGAATCTGAAGTTATTCAAACCAGCATTTTTGTTTCCTTCAAATGGCTTGTTTTCTGTGCCTGGAATTTTCATCCTGTTACACATGTAATATACTCAGTTTATAGTGGAAAGTCTGAGAGTTTTAACTGCTAGTTCATTGATACTATCTTCGAAGAGTCTGGCATCTCAATTTCTATACAAACTGGAGTTCTTCAGAGAGATGTGCAATGCGAATGAATTAACAGGGAACACAAAGCAATGGCATTAGCTCCAAAGGCATCTTGGACATCTCACTTTTTCTGCCTTCTGTTTTCTTGATGGCTGAGAAGTTATTCAACAAAATGTGCTCTAATTTCTACTGTGGAAACCAAGGGTCTGAAGGTCTGGCAGTTACACTGTCCTAACCTCTCTGCAATGTAACTAAGTGTTTGTATTTCCGTATTGCTGTACAGGTTGCACCTTTCTAAACCAGGACTCTCTGGTCTAGCAACATCCATGGTCCGGCATGACCTTGGATGTTCCTTGATGAGAAGTCTGGGAGCAGGAGGGCCAGCAGCTGAGAGCTCGGCGCAGCGAGTCTGGTGGTGGCGAGTTCACAGCAGCCTAGGCAGCAGCAAGGCTGGAACAGCCCGGGCAGCAGCAGAACATGATCAGGGCTGCCTGGCACCTGGCAAGGGAGCTGGGCCTGCGGCAGCCCAGACGGAGAAGCCTGGGAGGGGCCATAGCAGCCCAACAGAGGCAGACCGACTAGGGCCTTGTGCTGCCTGGCAGCAGGACTGAGATCGTGACAGTCTGATCAGTAAGGCTGGCAGCGAAGCCTAGGATGGGACTGGCCAGTAGGTAGCTTGGCTGGGCTGAGGGAGCTGGCAGCGGGGAGGGGCAGTGATCTGAAGGGCTGGTATCAGGGGACCTCCTTTGGTCCGGCAAATTCCCTCATTCGGGACTAGTCAGGTCCCGAGGGTGCCGGACCGGGGTAGTTCATCCTATAGTGGAATGCCTTTGATATGTGAAGGTGGCCATGGCTAATTTTCCCCCTCTTCCTAGGGAGCAATTAGTCTCTTCAGTTAAACCAAAACTTCACCTCTTCTAAGGTAACAGGAGAGGAACAAAAGTTAACCTTTCTTCTAGCTAGTTTCTCTCTCACCAGAACTCATTGACCCAGATTCTGTGTCACTAGATCACAGGGGCCTGCATAAACCTGCTCTCCCACTGGGGCAGGGTCCTATAAGTGGTCCCTTTGCCTATTTCTCACTCAGTCACTGCTCTCCTCCAATCCATGCAGGCTGATTATTTTCCACACCTCTGTATAAAAAAGCTGCCATAGCTTAGCACCACTAGGCAATTTAAGGGCAGAGGGTGACCTTTATCCTTGCACTGAGGACAGGGCGAGACCTCTCAGTTCTTAAGTCACACATAACCTATCCAATCAGGGTATAGAAAAGCAAATTTCCCTCTGAGAAAAAACCTGATCTTGGCACTTATTTGCTTTTGCGAGATTGTAACTGATCTTTAACATTTTTGTAAAGTAATAAATGTAAAGACCAAGAAAAAGATCATAGAGAGCTCATATTCCCTGCTGGCACAAGAAGCACAATTTTTTCCAAGGGCATACTATTGCTGGCAATGGTGTATATTGTAAGTTCTGCCACGGATAGCCTTTTAATCCTTTTTCTTCTAATTTATTATGTTTGCAAATAGAAAGATTTTAGTGTCCTTGCATTTTAACTTTATTGTAGATATATACATTTATACTAATATATTTCTTGTGTTGTCACTTTATTTTGTACATTTGTAGCCCAATAGGTTAGTTTTTTAATATCAGTACTCATTTATACTTTTAGATTGATAATCCTCTCTTCTATGAATACATGACTAACTGGTCTTAGAGATTTATCTTGCTTACTGTAGATTACTTAAGAATTATCCTTTAACTCCAGAAACAAAGTAATCAGGTTAATATTTTTCTGTATTGCTAGTACAGGTTGGACCTCTCTAGTCCAGTAGACTAGAGATCTGATTGGTGCCGAATTATCCAAACCAAGGGAGGTCAATATTGTCTGGCAGTATTACCAACACTTCCACTGCTTATTGGGCTCTTAGAAGACATTTAGGGCTAAATTAGAGCTAAATAATAACACAGATCAAGAGAGCCAGGACTGGTGGCTCTAAAAAAACTTTATGGGATTGCCAGAAATTTGGTCACACCCGTGATAAATGGACATCCAGCTAACTAAAATCAAGCCAGAGCACTGATGTTGCTGGACCAGAGTGCCATTCTAGAGAGGTTCAACATGTAGCAAAATAGAGAAATTCAAGCAACATAGAAGCATATTATACTTTTCTTGCTTTGTGCTTGGTCAGTTTTTCTGCAGTGTTTTGGAAAATGCTGCTTCTAATGATGAGTTATATATATTTAAATGTAGCTGAGAGTGACCAGGGGATGAGCACTTAGCATGAATTTGTCCAACAGTTAATTTATCTTCTGTTAAAATGTATGAAGGAATATCAGAGGGTGTGTCTAGACTACATGGGTCTGTCGACGGAGCCATGTAAAGTAGTTTACTCGACATAGTCAATGAAGCGGGGATTTAAATAAGCCTTGTGAAACGAGCTTTACAGGAGTGGTTGACAAAGGCTTCCCTTGTCGACTGCGCTGCGTCTAGACTGCCGTGCTGAGCCGGATCAGCTGATTGTTGGCACAGCGTGGCGGCCATTTTTATTTTAATGAAGCGGGGATTATTTAAATCCCCGCTTCATTGACTATGTCGAGTAAACTACTTTACATGGCTCCGTCGACAGACCCATGTAGTCTAGACACACCCAGAATGTACCTGTATTGTATAATAATCTCAATAATATATTGCAGTGTATTGACTCGTAAAAAAAATCATTGCTTGACTGCTTAAAATAAAGACGCTTCCATTAAAAAAAAAACTGTAAAACTGTAGGGGGAACCCTACTGAACATGTAGTTACCATAAATAACTATCAGCGAGTGGCTTTGATATACACAACTGGGGTGTATTGCGTGTGCAAAAGGTAGCAAAATATAGTACTATGCTACATAACATGTAAGCAGCCATTGTGGGCAAATGATTCTGACCCTTCAACTCCAGTTGAGATCCTAATTATTTCTGAATGCCAGAGTAGCATGAATTTTTTTAGGTGCAACTTTCCTCTTTTTATTGGTAAATAAATCATTTTTCTTACTTTTGTTTCTGGTTCTCATTTACTCTTCAATTTTAGACTTTTTATTGCCTTGCCTGATGTAAACCCCTTCATTGACTTCATTCGTACTTCACTGACCCCACTGGAGTTTCTGCTGCTTGTGCCAGGTTGGAATTTGGCCCAGGCTATGATAGAGAAGCACAAGGGATACGATTTCCTCTACAGAATCATGCTGCTGCCTCAGCTACATTCAACAGCCTCTGGGGATCTAGGTTTTTTACTCACATCACACTTATCTCTAGAACAATCATTGGGGCTTGTATATGACTTGACCAGGTCAATTTCCCTGCTTTTAATTTTCTCTAAATTCTCTCCATGTTTTCTAGATTTTTGTGTTTGATTCATTTGTCTTCTACATGCTGTCTGTTTCTCTTGACTTTCCGCTATCTGCCAATTTGTGTACATCTGCCCTTGGTACCTTTTCAGTTTCTCCTTGCTGTTTAACTTTAATTCTCATTGCATGCAAGGGAACAAGCTGTTTCCATGGTTTTTCCATGCAAACATCATAGGAACAGCTGTTTTCATAGTATTTTCCGCCAGGAACATATCCTGCCCTCCAGCTGCTGATGTTATATTGGGGGAATATAATCTACTGGATCCAAAACAAGAAGTGGTGAAGTTATGGCTGGATACCATCTGTTTCCAAAGGATTTTGGGGGTTGAGGAATCTAATTGTACACATGTGAGGGAGGGTAAAATGTACCATAGCTTAGAACAACAACAAAAACACGTCTTGGGTATCAAGAGCAAGGCATATATCTAGAAATTAAGAGCCAGATTTTCAAGACAGATGACCTACCATAGCAGCCAGATTTTCTAGAGAGCACAGCTTCCCATTTACCCAGCCTGCTGAGCTCTCAAAAAATCTGAACCATCAAATGTCATAATGAGAGCTGCGACTTTTCCTCAACTATGAGTTCTGAGCATATGGAAATCAGACCCTGAGTAAGTAGCCTGATTTTCAAGGTTCCCGGGCCATTGTCTTTAGATCTGAATAACTTTTTTCAGATGAAAGGGGTGATCGTTTATTGCCATGTTTTTTTCTGCAATTAAATGAGAATTGAAGACATTTTGCAATCATGCAACCTATAGTTTTTAAGACACCGAGGCCTTTAAAGAGCATGTATTTTTTATCAGGCAAAAGCTTCTCCAAGTTGGTTTCACCTATAAATAATTTAGTCTCGCTGAAAAATTCTTATCAGACACCTATTCATAACCCTAGAAGAGCATCTCTTAACAGTATCAGACAAATGGGTCTTTTTCTACCCATTCAAGCTTCTTGGTCTACTAAGCTTTCCCCAATATGCCATCAGTGTAAAAAATGGCTTGTTTCTAGGCAAAAATTTCAGTTAAAAACAATCAATAATGAAGCAAGATGAGCTTTCAGTGGCCATCTTGGTTCATATCAGTTCATCCTGCTCTGTATTCAGCAGAATGGAAATAGAGGAAGAGACACAAGTTGTTTTGGTTGTTTTTATCAGCACCTCCAGATCTAGGGCTGGTTTATGTTGCAGTTCTCTTTAGTTGATTTTAATTCACTTCAAGTTACAATGACCACATTTACTGGTGTGCAATGTTATTCTAGGGTGTATACTCTAAAGCTCATGAGCTGGAAGCTGTTCTCTAGCAAAATGAACTGAAGTGGTAAATGTGTCTCTGGTTAATTTCATTCTCCACTCAGAAAGGAGTAATTAATAATAAAAAAACACACTAAAACTGTAGTTCTAAGCATGCTGCTAAAAGCGGCATAGCTTAGTATATGCCATACCTGTACTTGCTTGTTTCAATAGGTCTGTATGTGTAGGTTTGTTTTTGAACTCAGCTCTGGCACTGGACCCCAGAAGAATTCTCCATGCATGGCTTTTTCTTGTAAAAAACGAGGAGTCCTGTGGCTATGTATTAAATCTGTTAGTCTAATGTGCCACTGGACTCCGCGTTGTTTTTGCAGATGCAGACTAACACAGCTGCCCCTTTGAGAACTTTGTGTGAGTTTATTGCCATGTGATGGTTGTGTCACAGGGTGGCTGGACCTGTAAATGAGGGAGCCACCGTGCCAGAACAGATGCTCTGAATTTGGCCAAATAGTAGAGTTGGGCAGCACCTACGCCTAAGGGATCATGGACAAATCAGACAGGAGACAAGCTGATGAATCAGAGCTGGTTGAATGGGAGTCAGGGGTGGGGTGAGAGCTACCAAAAGACGGTGGAAGGTGTTACCTGGGGAAGGCTGAAGGCAAAGAGAGCAGCAAGAGGGGTTTGCTGGCTGACCTCCCCAACCTCGAGTCAGAGGGATAAACAAGACTGAAGCCAATGGAGCAGCAGGGCAGCATAAACACTGATATCCACACTGGAAAGCTGCATCCAGCAGAGTAGTGGGAGGAGGAAGGGGAGAGAGGCTGGTCTATGGGCAAGGAACATCTCCCAGTAGAGAATCTGTGGGCGTTCCCACTGGGAAGCGCAGGGTTGCAAGCTATCAGGAAGGTCAGGATGGCTGTCCTGGCTGAGGGAGAGAAGAGGGTAATAGGAGCCTACGTGTGACAGAAGACACTGGAGTATGGTGTAGCTACGCTCCAGCAAGGAGTCTGGGAAGAGCAGTGGTTTAGAACTAGATGCAGAGGAGGTGGGGGGGGGAGGGGATATGGACTGTGTTTGGGGACTGTTGTTACAGGCTAGTTAAAATTATGTCTTGTAATAAACTTGCCCCAAGGAGGGGGTGTTATTTCATCAAGAGCCTGGTGCAGTCCTTAGGTTATCTCAGGGGAAACTGAGGCAGGCACACACATTGTGCTGCAGCCTATCATGGGAGGGCACTTCAGGTGGCGTTGCCCTATGACAGATTGTCAAGCTCAGAAAACTAAGCGATTTCATACCATTTGTAATATGCAGTACTGTAATACAAACGATCATGGAGATATTTGGGAAACAACCATCAGGTGAAATGGCACGTTCCAGGCAGTTTGTCTGATTCACTTCACCAGGGAATTGTGTGGAAAGTCTGGTCTGAATTTCATCCATGACCGCTGCTGTTGCAAGTTACTTCTAGTGCAGAAGTATTCTATTAGTAACTGCTGTCATGTGGCTGTGGCAATTGAGCCAAATAACCCACCATCTGTGCAGACCCCTTCCTACTACCAATGAAATGGTTGCATGTAAATTACGAGTAGGGCAAGGCAGGTGATTGGTTGCGTTACCTTTGATATCACAGTGGTGTAGGACTCGTTGCAGGGCAGAGACACAGCCGTGCAACAGGAAGGCAGTAACTCATAAAGTCAAAATGGCAGAGAATTTACAAGGGAGATGATAGCAGATGACAAATCCCAGGGATGATTGCTCTGGTGATAGTCTGAACCAAAAGAGCTCTCAGTCATGCTTGCAGCTGCTTCACACTGACTCCACAGACGTTCTAGGCTTCAGACTAGGTCTACAATGCAGCCTTTTGTTGGCAGAGACAATGCAAATGAAGCGCTCATTCACATTTATCATGTTGTCATTGGCATATTTTCTGTGGATGCTTTTTGCGGAAGAGGTTTTTGCATAAAAACAAGCAGTGTAGATGGTGCCGTTTGTGTAAAATCCCCCTGTTGCACAAGATCCTGTATACCTCCTTTTTTTGAGGCATAAGGGAGTTTGCACAAAAGGGGAGGGATAGCTCAGTGGTTTGAGCATTGGCCTGTTAAACCCAGTTGTGAGTTCAATCCTTAAGGGTGCCATTTAGGGATCTAGGGCAAAAATCTGTCAGAGATAATACTTGGTCTTGTTGTGAAAGCAGGGGACTGGACCTGATGCCCTTTCAAGGTCCCTTCCAGCTCTATGAGATAGGTATATCTCCATGTTATAACCTTATTATACAGCTACTACACCGGTTGTTGCACCATTTTATAGCATGTTTCTCTGTAAAATAAAGGCATATCAAGCAAGTAATTCTGCAATGTTATCATTCAAACCACCGGTGTGACAAGCCTGACAGAATAGGCTAGTTTATTACAGGCCATAGGAGCAGTCACTAGTGAACAACTAATACTATTATTCAGTGACTTGTGTTATTGGGATCAGGATTGTTTGGTAATTCCGGATTCCCTATATTATATCTGGCTTCAATGAAAATTTATATGAATAATCCATTTGTTGGTTTATGATCCTTTTAATTCCTCATGTGATGTTCCTGAAATGCTACAGTTTTGCTGCGACTTCTCACGTGCACTGCAGTAGGGAGACTGCAGGGTATGTCTGGATGGCATTGTAAGATCAGGGTTGGAACTCACATTCAAGCCTAACCCCAACTCAATTTCCATCTGCACACAAATCAGGCTGACCATGGCTTGGATCCCACAAGGTGGGGAAGTCAGAGCCTGGGTCAAGCCAGGACCCAGAGGCAAAGTACTAGTGCTTTGCAGTATAGATACAGCCCCAGTGGATTTGTGCTCTGGGAGTCCACCAAAAGTATACACAATCCCACAGGTTATGGGTGGGTTCTAGGAAGTCTAGGCTAGGGTGGCTGGACTCAGGCCTGCATAATGC